TTATTTCAAGGCTGAGATACTCCCGCTTCAAATGATTGATAATTTGCACGTTGGCTGCAAGTCGATCTAGGTGCTTGAGGTTTGTATTAAGACTATGAAGATGAAAAGAATAAGGAGTGAGTTATTTCAAAATTTCTCCATGTATTGTAAGTGAAGATCTATTGTTACTCTTTGTAACTCGATTTTAATTGAAAAGGTATGCAGGACATTTTGATTGTAGATAGCGTTCAAGTAGTCTTGTATGTTTTTTTCTTGGAAAACATCATTCGTTTGAGAGTGGAGATTATGGGTGTAAAGTGCTCTAGGCATTTGCTAGAGGGTGGTGGTTGAATTATTTAAGGGCCAATAGAACACTTGGTCTTGGATGCTCGTGAACATGGACGAACGATCCTAGGTTTTTTGTCGGGCAAATTTCTCGAAGTAGTTGGGATCTATGAGAATCTCCCTACCAACCCTAAACATGTCTTTTCTTGTCAATGGTATGTAGTACGCCTTGATTTTTGCTCTCCACCTACAATGGGGTTCCTAAAAATGTTAAAAAATATAGTATGTAGGTACAAAAGCTTATAACTATAGGGTCAAACACATTCCTTCCGTCTCAAGACTTGCTATGGAAATAGTATGGCGAAGGCCAGTTTTGCCACGCGAAGGAAATATCTTTAGAGAAATGAACTAGACACAATCGAGACTTGAGTCGAATACACTTGATCCTAGTTAAGTCAACTAGGTTAGAATTGGATATTTTGGTAGAATTTCATCGTGTTCAAATACCTTTGATTTTTATTGAATTTAAACCACCTCTACGATAGATACAACTACGAGTCAATACACGAAAAAGTACTTGTACATAAATTTTAACCTATATTTATTAATATTTACCGATCCAAAAAAATAAAAAAATAAATAAATAATAAAAATAAAATTGTAATGTCATATGTACATAGTGAGATCTCCCAAATGAGGTGGCATTGAAATGCTCTCATATACACACACGCATTTAATTGACTTTATCATTCAGCCCCACATCACATGGAGATAATCCCACTTTCTACAATTCTACATATAGTATTATTCCAAGAATAATGCTCTGCTTGTACATAATGAGTGACATAAAATTTTACAGTTGATGAGTTGTCAAAAAAAAAGGGTCATGAAGCTTTGTTTTTTTTTTTTTTTGGATGAAGAGATTTTAATTTAATCATATCTTACTACATCATGTATTTATAAATCAATATGTAAGTGATTATATCCATATAGTACACAACCGTTATTCTAATAAGTTGTGGCTCTCCAATATGTTAAATAAACTAGATAGATCATTCACTTCACTGCATTGCATTTCGTCCGGATAAGTCTTGAAATGGAGGAAAATGCTGCTTATTGAAATTCGTAAATTGGAATTTCACATTTTTCTCGAAGTCTTGAAATCATTTTTCATAATCTTTTCATCGTCGACCAAGCTACTGATACCGGTACATACAGGGCTACTAAATAGCGAGTGTGACTATACAAAGCTTCGAGAAAGAAACTCGCCTATCCTCTACAACTCTTCATTACCATCCTATTTGTCCCAGCACAGAATCAACCAAGATGCTTCGTTAACAGAAACCGACCTCCATATTCTATTTTAAGGAAACATGCAAATGTTTTAGCAATAAAGGAAATGTACATCAGCATATTGTTCATGTCCATAAACTACTATTCATAGGAGCTTATCTGGAGTCCTGAGGAAACACTTCGGCACCGCCTTTTCTTTGACATGCCCTGCGTTATTGTTACGAGTGTCACCAAAACTTCCACATGAAAATTTAAACTTTTTAAGAGCGTGGTTACTGAAAAAATACTATAGCAGAGATAATAGGAAAGGAATGACATGTTATGTTTCATGTAGTCATAAATTAATCAACCATTATATTTAGATTTATCAAGATTATATTGAATGATAAACGAAGATACAAATTAGAAGAAAACTATAAAAGTTGGAAAAACAGTAATAAGTCACAAGTTATAATCAGAGGAAATGGACAAGTCAGTCATAGCTTTGTGTTAAGCAGCAATTTTTTTTTAACTTGTCTAACAAGCAGAAGTGAGTTTAATGTTAGCAATGAACATCACTGTGATTGTTTCATGTTTGCAAGTTTTTTGATTCAAGCTCGGTCTAGATGCAGTAACAAATTTCAACTAGAGTTGAATATTGGTACGAGTGTTTCCATGGGACAAAATCACACACACTTCTTTTCTTATGGTTTACTATTCTGTGTATCGTCGAAATAATATACTGGTCTGATAAGCTCAAAAAGCTATGAGAAATCAGTTATAAATATGCAGACATAGTTTGCTAAGGTGTGCCAAGTAACAGTCAAGAAGATACCGGTGTGTTTTCTTATGCAAAAACTATGATTTGATAACAGGCAGTTAAAAGCAAGCCCATCACTTGGATAATTTTCATAACAGCAGCATCAATCTAGTATTATAAAATTAACACTGAGCACTCACACAGTATGAATGTGGCACCAGTTCTGACTTTGTTATGATAGCCACAACAAAGCCCTGTTCTCAATAAAGTTGAGGTCAGTCACGTGAAACATTTTTCTTCACCTATTTTGATGCTGAACTACATCTACAGACAGTTCCAAAAGAATCAAATATTTGGTAACTACATCAGACTATGCTAATCTTCATGTAACTCTCCCTTTTCTAACATGTTCTATAGGATCACATTGCTCCCGTGTATAGATGTTCCTTTAAGTCTATGCAAAACAAGTCTCAACTATGTAAGTTATCGTTCCCTTAATTTATTATTCATTGATAGAACCTCTACTTGTTGGCTTGTATCATCATTTCTCATCTCATGTGGGTTGATATAGAGGTCAATCAAACAAAGTAACAAAGAAAGATTCATGTTGTTGAACCTCAAGTTCACTAGGAATAAGATTTATGTCCCATTTGGTACACATTAATGTAAAAATGAGAATGAAAAATATATTCGTTACGGGTCCCACACAAGAGATAGAAAGTCAAATATGGTGGCTTGATGTGATGTATAACGGTCATATTTTTCATTTTAATGAGCAAATAATGGGAAACAAATGGGGGTTTAATTTATTTTCTAGCCTAGAAGATGCATTTCAACTCAATATACACAAGAGATAAAAAGTCAAATATGGTGGCTTGATGTGATGTATAACGGTCATATTTTTCATTTTAATGAGCAAATAATGGGAAACAAATGGGGGTTTAATTTATTTTCTAGCCTAGAAGATGCATTTCAACTCAATATGTTATGATCACCTAGAATATTTAGCCCCCCGTTTGGCCTCTATTTTTTTCAAAACTCATTTTCAACAACATATTTTTCAAAAAATCACTATTTAAAAAAAAAAATTAATAATAAATTTTTTTTCCCCCCTCAAAAAATGGGTCTCAAAACATGGGCTTAGCATTTTATCTAATTTGGCTTATCCACTCTAATCTTAATGCGTTAGATGCTCTTAAAGTCCTTTATTCTTATTGATAAACAGACCTAAATGCATAAAACAACGAGCCTTCGGAAAAATATGATCTTTTATCACGACCCTACTATCATCTTATTCCTATCCCTACTATGACCATAAAACATTTTGAGGACTCATTTAACAAGACTTCTATTTCTTATAGAAAACCTAAGGAAGCTAAAGTGGGAAACTTTGAGTCAACTTCCTCAGGAAGCTCTTCTAGCCATACAAAGCTTTTAGAAAATTATCCAAATAGATTAAAAAAATGTAGTTTCTTAATATCAGAAGCAGCTTTTGACTTTTCAAAAACCCTACGAAATGGACCCTATGTATTTTACATGTGCTTCTACTTAGGTAAATCATTTTTGCTCCAAAACTCAGATTTATAATTTATTCCCTCCTAATTTCACCAACTGAAACTATGCCATCGATGAATAACATACACCAAGACCTAATAGTTATCTTTCATAAAGTCATCCATGACTAATACAAAATGATAAGGAATTACAGTGACGCCTTTTAGAAGCCTAAAATAATAAGAAAGTCTCCTCCTTCTAAGCTGATCGAACACCAAAGCTATAATTGCTTATTCTCTACCATTCATATCCTTGACTACATTGATTTATCTAATAGAATTTTTTTCTTGAGCACCCACAATAGAACTTGCCTTGCCACCCCATCACATCAATAAATATCTTTGTTTCTGTTTTCCTTGACCAGATAGCTTATAAAAATGATGTTTCATCCTTCTTTAAAGATAAAGATACAAGTTTTGCAATTTCACTCTGCAATTTCAATATCTTGTTCCGTGAAAAATAGTTGTAATTGACATAAATTTATATTTAGAAGCTACTTGTATGGTTATATTATTATAATTCTAGGAGTTGATTATTACCATAATTGTAGGAGCTGATTATCGAGCTTAATCATTAGAGCGATTACGGGAGACTAATTATAGGAATTAATTAGCTTCCTTGTATGCAAAGTGCAATCTAGTAATGCTTTATGGTATGGAATTAAATTATATTTTTCCACATGGTATCGGGGTACTTTCCGAACTCCGGATTATTCTCAGTCGGCGAAGCCTCGCAGCTCAACTCCATAGGTTCAAGTCTTGCAATTACCCATTTATGAAAACTGTCAGCTTGTCAGGCCATTGACAAGAAGAAAATGAATTCGGCCTAAACTAGGACACGCTTGCACAGTGCCAAAACTCAAATAACGGGAGAAATTCCAAATATTGGGTAAGTGGCCTAGAAGCTTGAGATTGGCCAGTATTTCACCCAAGATGGAAATTGTGTATTTGAATACTGAGTTGTGGCAGTAGGGAGGTACAGAACAACTCCAACTAGTAAGCTATGACTTTCGTAACTCTGGATAAAAGAACACAAAGATTTAGGAGGAGTTCTTGTGAAGAACCCTAAATTGTAAATTAACATTTGGTATTTTTAATACTGTGTAGAGAAGTAAGAGGAAATCATGGAAGACCCCCAAAGTACTAAGAGTATAAACAGTCCAATTAGGCATCTGATGTTTTAAACATATAAAGCAAATAAAGGTGAAACACAAATGCTGTACCTTAGAGGATGGAGGGGGCAGAGAAGCTTGGCGCACAGCCTTTCCTGGTTCTGTTAACTGACGAATCTCGTGAAGCTGGCGTACAATATTCTCCAAAAGTTCCATCTGTACTCTTTCCCTTTCACGATGTTCAACAGATATACTAAGTTTCTCTCTCCCCTCCTGCACAGTCCTTAACCTTTCTAGAAGCCAGAAAATTTCACTGTTGATTTTTAACCTTTCAGTATCCACTGCAGACATGGAACTCCTCCGCATATCAGAAAGTAAAGGTTTACACCTAGGGCCCGTGGGTGGAAGCCAACTAGTCATGTCTGAACTGCTTCTCTTACTGTCCAGTTCAGTGTTCAAACCACTAGTACCTGGACAGTCGGCGATACCAACAACCATCTTTGCAACAGAGGCCTCCAAGGGAACATCATTTTTCCTATCATCTTCTGAAGTATCAGTGCCCAAAAACTGTTCACCTTTGCTTCCATTTTCATCATTACTGAAGTTGGATCCATTGCCAATGACATGAACATCATAAACATGAGAGTCGTTTTCAGAAACTAAATTACACAAATCATGAAATCCATGATTTGCATTATTCCTATGCTGTGTCAAATGTGGAGTGTCATATGGATCGCCTGTCTCAGTTCCTTTACTAGGGTAAATGCTCTTTTGGAAAAGGTTTTTCTCATTTCCCTCGTGCTCTTTCCGTGCTAAAGGGATAGTTTTCTCTGGAAAATTAATTTCTTGAGGGTCCCTTGGCAGCATGTACAAGTTATCATCTACGGATATCATCTCTTTCTCCTGAAGCTCCACAGTGCTATCACTACTGCATATTGACATCTGCAAAGGTAGTCTGCCTAAGTCCTCTTGTTTCTGGAAGCTAGCATTTTCACATGATCCTTGAACTGGGGACTCATTTCCAATATCTGCTTTACATTTCTGCTTATCAATAGATACACTATCATCTGAACCATTGTTTTCTATCATTACCTTCTTTTCAACAGACGCGCTAAGCTCATGCAGCATCAGAACAAGATCCTCATTTGGATCAAATGAAGAATCAACAGGTAGTTGGGGATCATTTTTCTCCCCACTTTCATGAGCTAACTGTTTGTCTTCAAGACAATTCATCTGCCTATACATTTCAACTTCCTTTTCCAAAAAGAGCTTCTCCCTCTCTCTTCTTACCATGATTTCTTTGAGGATGTCCATTTCTTCAGCATCATAAGCAGATTTTTCTTCTAATATCCTCTGGTACTGCCGAGCTTCCATTTCAATGGATGCCTTCTCCTCCTGTAGGCGCAGAATCATAGCCATAGCCTCATCTGCAGCAGTTGCAGCAGCACTTCTTTCCTTTTCAAGCTCTTGGTAAAGAGCCAAACCAGCAGCATGCTCTTCTTCAAGCGCCTGTTTCAAGAATCTTATTGCATTTTTCTCATCTCCATTGGAACTCAGGTCCCCTCGGTCATGCTCTTTTAGATCTTCAACAAATGGTACATTTTCCCTTATGTACATATCTTCACCAGGGCATTTATCCAATTGAATGCTCTCAAAAACTCCCTGCTTCAATCCCATGATTGTGGGAGCCTCCTCATCATCTATGTTCATGGATAAAACGTAGCACGTGTAAACCATAATTACAGAAAATACCGCATACTTGGATCCTTTCAGTTCATTCCACTATCAAAACTTTCAAGAACATCTCAAAAAACCAGTTCATAGTATGTCAATGCATGCCTGATTAATAAGCAAAGCTGCAAGTAATCTTTAAGGCTTGAAATAAACAAAGATTACAAAGAATTTCTCAGAAAATGTTAAAACCTAACTTAACAGGTCAGAGAAGAGATAGAGCTTTGTGTTTTACAAAACGCAAAATTGCTGATGGTATCAGCTTTGTTATCCATACTCTATAATGGCCTTTGTTGCTAAAAGCTCCATTGGGACTTAGAAAAATATAATGGCAGTTGCAGAACTACCCTTTGAAAAAATATAAGCATTCACACTCAAGGTCCGTACACCTTGATCATATGATTCCTCCAAGTTCATTCTTGCAGATATGCAATACATTATATTCTTGTTAGTTGATCTTGTTTAACACTTACAAACTGGTCTTTTTATTTAAGTTCTGTTCCATATACAAAATCCTGAAGCTTATTCCTCCTGAAATTACAAAAGACTTCTTAATTGATATACTTTGTGATACCGAGCATTGGACTGTTAAAGGACACATATAAGACAAATATCGAAAATATGAAGATGTTAACATGGACTTGGGATTATGTTAGAATAGGTAAAATAAAAAAAATAAAATATATGCCAACAAGTAAAGGCTGTACCAATTGAGGATAAATTAATGGAATGTCTATTTAGGCAGTTGGAAATGTGTCTCATAGGGGACCTTAAATAACCCCCAACCCTGGCAATCACAAGATCGTGTATCCAAGTAGTACGAGTTAGAAGAGAGAGATGAACCAAAAATGGTATGGCCCAAAGTGGTAGTGAAGGATTAGATCGAATAGGTTTAGCAACAGATGAGGCCCCAATATCTTGGATCATTTCCACTCTTGAAAGAGATGAGCAAGTGAAATTGAAGCTCAAACATGGGAATTTTCTTTCGTGGCAAGTGGTGAGCAGAACTAAAAGGAGATCTTTAGAATCAAAAGACATTCAACTTGTAAAATAATGAAAACAGTTTATACAGCTTATAGTTCGTTTAAGACGGTTTGGCAAGGTTACAGGAGATAAATATCCCTGTAGATGAAAGACCAAACTTACCTTACATGATATTACTAATAAAGAAGTGTTCGCTTGTCAATTAACACAAAATGATAACAGAACAAAGACTGATGTCTTCGTTCAGTAAACAAATGCAGCCACAGCAGAACAACAAACAATTTTTTGGGGTGTTAAGCCCTAATTCAAATTATGGAAGCAATATTAAAACATAAGCAGATCCACAAACAAGAGAAAGACACAGAGATTTATAGCTATTCACCCTCAAGCAAGAGCAACATCCATATGCCGACTTTTATTTATGAAAATAAAAGAGATTATAATGGTAATCTTGCAGCCTCTCAAGCCATATCTTACAGAAAATGCGCCCTCCAATAATCCTTCAAATATGTCAGAATATTAAGGATATCAAATACGTGTATAGAATCAATAATATTAGGTGTCCAAAGGGCTTGCAATAAATTACAACATAAGATGTGCTAGCAATCAAATAGCCACTTATGTTACTGATGATAAGAAGTCAAACTAAACCGGAATTCAAGGAACAAGAGAACTCACATTCAATGTTATGAGTAGCATCTTCATTATCCAGAGGCAATGAGATGCCTCCACTGAATTCATTCCCTATCTTGTCGATACTATAAGGAGACATAGGAACAGCACCATCTTGCTCGCCACACAGGGAAGGATCATATGACGAAACCAATGAATAATTCCCACCATCAACACTCCCTTTTCGACGCTTCCTCAATCCAAATCCACCCTTTCTTGTATAATTTACTACCCTTTTCCCCTTCATATCAGACCTATCCTTCCTCAAATTCAGCTGCCTCCTGGGTACATTCCTTGACCTCCTTGCATCTGATAATGAACTACATGATGCCTCACCTTCAATTTCAAGAATCCCCTTAACATTTTCATTAATAACTTTACCGTTTTGATTATTTTCCGAAATGGAATCATTGAAAGGGAACTTTTGCTTCATAGAATGTTGAACATTAGATACTGTTTGAGTTGGGAAATCAACTAACAGTCGTTGTAAGCAGTGATTACTATTTGGGGCGGCGATGAAGAGGCCATTACAAGGGCATGGCAAGCACAATCCAAAAAAACCCAGAAATTTTGCTGCTAAATAGGATATTGCTGATGCACACAACAAGAAGTAGGCTATAGCGAGATCAAGAAAAGCACCAACTAAACCACTCAAAGTCCACATGTGAATGGCCCGGCACCCCATTTTTCATTGATGATTAAACTTGATTTCAACTGAATATTCAACCTTTGAAACAAACCAACCAAAGGGAAGCTTTTTTCTTTGAAAAATTAAAGAAACCATGAAAAGAAAGGAAAAGGGAAATTCAGAACTTGATCAAAAAGAGGATTTTTTTTTTTGGATATATAAATTAGGTAAGTATTATTCAAAAGGGTGGCAATCAAGGGACTCGAGGCGGAAAAATCAGCAACCCCAGCAGCATGTGAAGAAAATTGGGTAAATTTCTGTGTGCTCACTGAACTTTAAGAAAAATATTCATTGTCATTAAAGTTAATTTTATCTCAATTTGTTCACTAAACTATAATTTAGTTTTAAATTGGGTTGCTTAATTTTGATTTAGTTTCAAATTTCACTACTTCGCTACCTATCATATTTAAAATTTATAAGAATTTCTTAGTTGATGGTCGTACTACAATGAATTTTCATGTGATCATTGTGTGGCATATGAATTTCCTATTATAACGTATCATTAACTTTGCATTTTAACCTTTTAATCTAAAAATATTGTCATAATCTACTTTTACCATTTGAATCCATAGAATTACCATGCAGATACGTGGAAAATTAATTATGGTATGATCGATAAATGACTCAACGAAGTAATTTCTTTTAACTTGAGCCTTTGAGGGAAGATAGTTGGCCAAATGTAAAAGAATGATAAATTGGAAACAAAATAAAAGTTCAGTGATCTAATTGAGATAAATTAAAGTAAAAATCTAATCAAAATTTTGTTTGAAGTTCAGTGACCATGAATGAAATTATCCAAAGAATTTTTTGGAAAAAAAAAATGATATAAATGAGATAATGTTTATAATTTTATTGAATTCGGAATATCTTGATAATGATCGAGACATCGGGTCGAATTAGGAGTTGTTCCCATTATTACTTCAGCTAGAAGTTACTATCATTTTGTTTTTATTAGACCATAGGACCTCACGTGCCGTGCAATTAATTTATGGTTCCATGTCCCTTTTGTATTTTTATTTTAGTGTTATTTTTTTTTATTTTTTTGATATCCAAGTATCCCAACTTACACCAGACTAAATCCTGAACCCCCAAGACCCATGCCCCTAGAACCTTGGAGGGGGTAAATCGCGGGTTATGCCTCAACTAGATCACAGGTTCCCCCATTGCCTGTACACTTCTGCGCACAGGAGACCCTCCTTCACAGTGATTGCTCGATACCAAATTTTTTTTTTTTGGGCCGCAGTTCCCACCGGGAATCGAACTCTCCACCCTACCGCTGGAAGCAAGACAATGTTGATTGATCCACCAGTTGAGTTGTGCCCCGGGGGCTATTTTAGTGTTATTTTATTTACAAGTACGGATAATGAAGTCTGGAATTTCCAAGTGAATTTTCGCCTTTATTGGGTTTCATTCTTCATTTAGTAAGTTCATTTTTTTTCTTAAGTTTAACCTCATATTTTGCAGGACACACAAATAGTATACTTATTTCTATCAACTTATAATTTAGCAAAAAATGAAATCTAAACAAAGGTTTAATAAAAATTTCTCATTCGAAGCTCGGGGGTATTAATCTTGAAGGTGGATGTGGCTATCAGAGTCGAGGAGGGCTGGTTTGGCATCTGGGCGACAATTAGAGATTAGTCTGGTTTGCTAGTGGCAGTGTGTGATTTATGAAGCAGGATTGGGTGAAACTCTTGCTCACCGTCAGGGTCTACATTTTGCTAAGTATTGTGGAATGTGATGCACAAAGAGTAGTATACAACATTGAGTCCTCCATTTGGTCTTCGTCTACTTTAATTTTGTCAAATGCCATAGCTTTCATGGAAGAAGCAAGTGTTGATACGTGACGCTTTATTTGTTGCAAAGGGTATAAGATGATCCATAGTCTTGCCTTATTTGCTACTACTTCCCCAATTACCTATAATTGGGTTGATTAATTCCAATTTTTGTGCTTGTTTGACATTGTTTATAAAATGTTTATAATCAGTCAAGCTTATTTTTAGTTGCATGTTTTGATAGATCTATAAACACCATTAACTGATTCATCACTTATCTACCTGTTTATAATTGAAGTCATGTATAAACAATTTTCAAGCATGCACTTTACCTCATTTGCTATTATGTGTGATATCATTTACTAAAAGCTTGTTTTCATCTGAAAAATAATAATTATGATCAATTGGGCTACTTCGATTGAACCCAAATACTTGGTAGAGTACTCGACTTTCAAGTGTGGTTAGAATTTTTTACACATTTGGATGAAGCAAGGAATTTTCCTATCATTTGGCCCATATGTTATTGAGTACAAAGATCTTTGATGGAGAATCAAGAATTAAGCCACGAGATAAAGTTACCAATATATGCAGTTGTATTATTTGTGATTGTAACATATTGTAATAAACGATTACAATCTATGAATTGTGTGATTGTGACCTAATCTATATGTGACCTTTATTTTATTTTAGTGTGAACTGTAACTTGGTTTGCTTAGCGTGACCTTTGTCCCTTTGTACCAACAGCATATAACCTATAAATTTATGTATCTATAACATGTTATGTTATAAAAATTAACATATGAGCTCGTATGACTGTGACTATTTATGTTATCTAATTGGAACTAAGCATATAAATTCATAAGATTACCTGATTTTGGGAAAAAAAATGTTAATTCGTAACTAATGAAATAAAAACTTTAAAAAACATGTTTCAGGTAATTTTCTCTCATTAGATTGCCTGTACATCAGTACATGGTTAAAATTGAGGCAGCACTTGGTTGCAGGGCCTTCCTACTTACATAACTGGCAAAAGCCCATGAAATGTGAGGCTGTTTAGGCTGATTTTGGTCGGACAAGTGAGCAACACAGCTGGTGGGAATAGTGGTCGACGTTGCCTAGGACGTCGATGAATAATAGAAGAGCGAAATATTCGCTTCACATTTAGGAGATGTTTGATAGACATTTTTATGTAAAAATGCATTTTAAAATAATAAATTGATGTGAAATGTGTGGTTGAGAAATAAAAAAAAAATTTTCGTTTACGTGTAATATTATTTTAATAAAGAATGTGTTGTTGAAAAGAAATGAGAAAAAATGTATTTTGAAAAAAATGACTACCAAACGGAGTCTTATTTTAATTGTAATGAAAATTCCTAATAGTTACTCATTATTGCAATTATTTATCCAATTATTATTATTTTTTTAATCGCATTCTTATCTTCAACTCTCAATTAAGTACCACATCTTCTCTTTAGTGATAATTTCCTTCGGAATGACGGATAAAAAAGTACAAAGAAACATATCATTAACCCCTCATTTTTAATAAGCAAAAAATAACACTAGATACAAAGGTTTGACAAAATAAAAAGAGAATATCAAAAAAGAACATGGTATCAAAATAAGCAAAGGTCTTTATTAATAAGATTGAAATGATAGGCACGGTGCTCTCTCTAACAACTTCAACAAATAGAAGGGAATAACGAAAATCATTATGAAGTTTCTTGATCCATGAAAATCAACTTCAAGAATATACAAACCAATGACACTACAGTTTACAATATTGCTCAATCATTTAGCATTATCCAAGACACAGTGAAAAAAGGCAGCGTTGTTCGATTCATCAAAATTTGCCGCCTTCCACTCGGCTGCCTGTATATTGCCATTAATAAGCAACGGGTCTCCATTACTAAACAAAGGCCATGGTCTTTTTTTCAGGGCAGCAGCCTGTGATGCAGGGAGAACTGGACTTCCATCCAACACCAAGCTTTTGCCAATGGAAGGCGGCAAGATAATCCTGTCAAAGTCATTAGTAACCTTGATAGCAAGTTTAGAGAGTTCTGCCCTGGCAGTCTCTAGCCCGGTAGAGACCACGTCTTCATCTTTAAGAGCTTTACAAGCTTTATCAAGAATTGACTGTAGATACTTGCCCTGTGCTTCTATTCTCATCTGGAGATGACGCTCGACCTGCTTTTCATGGTATTATAAGAAGAAACCCTTTTTGCATCACAACTTTGTAATGAAATTCAAGCGTCATGGAGCTTAGGGTAACTATGCACCTGGAAACCAATGTGGAACTGAACTTGGTTTATATCACATATGTTCATGAAGTTGCAGAAATCAAATATTTAATTTGGGGTTTTCGAACTTTTATACGCATACTTCTGCTGAGATTTAAGTGGCAACATACAGAAAAATCTCTGTTATTCAGAAGAACTTAAGTTTAAAAAATAATAATAAATAAATAAATTTTTTTAGTTGGTCAAAGTTTAAAATAAGTTATTCGTAAGGCCCAAATACAGAAAATGTTAGAAGCTAAAGCAAAAAGTCACCAAGCAGAAACACAAACACACACTTCCATGCACAGCAAAAAATCGAACAAGTCGCATAAACAGATGATGTCCTAACCTCCAGCTGCTCACGCAGTCTTCGTTCAGTTTCCATCTGTACTCGTAAAGCCTCTGTAACCTGGTTGCCACTGGTGAAAATATGAAAAATTAAGATCGAATGGAGAAAGATATAACTTTTGGTCAAAGAAAAGAGGATATAGCGTACTCAATTATATCTTGTGACATTATTCTTGATGACGCTGATGTAGATAAACCAGTATCCTGACTCTCAGCGCCGCAAGATGCTACAGCCAAAGCAACACCAAATGAATGAATGAGAGTTTGAAATGCTAGGAATGCTTTATAAGATAGCCAACATGTTATCCATTAAGCACTTATTTCCCCCATTCTCATTTCCACCAGATTTTGAAGACTGTCATGCCACATGAACCATCCAATCCCAGCATTTTCATTTCCTCCATAAAACGCTCGATATTGTCTTACAGAGCAACTGATGAAAGATCTTTTGAAGTAGGTATGAATGAAAACATTTATTTTTCAGTTATGGAAACAGAATTACAATTATCGAGCAAAAATGAAATCCAATAATACCAAGAAAGTAAAAACAAAACCGAGAATATAACATATCATTTTGATTAATAATTACAGGAAACCCCTTGAACTTGTTCGTATGGGACACAATATTTTTCAAATAAATTTGAATTGGTAAAAAATCGGGGAGTTTAGTGAATGAACAAGAGCATGAGAGGGACTTCAAAATAAAAATAAACCAAGGTACTTGACATCCATTTGGTCAATTCAAAAAGGTTTCAAAGAGATATTCTCGATGGTAGTCAAGAAAGAGGACAAATCTATAATTTAATTGTGTAGGAATTCAAAATTCCAATTCATTGTTCACCTTCAAATACATATTCAAGGTACATTTTCAAGCGAATATAACTTATTAGTTTTTAGGAAAAGAAGAACCACTGGAACAAGAATCTCATCTCCTACACCCATATCCCATTTTGTGAACCCAAGAATTTCCACCACAACCTCTCAAAGTTTCTTTCAGACTCGGAACAGCTAAGTTTATAGACAATACTTGCAACTCTCAACCCTACCCCATCAAGAAGACTGTTCCATAGAAAATATTCAAAGCCATTTTCCTATGTTCTTCTATCCAAGCTTATGGTTATCCACTCCTAAGCCACATCTATTTTTACTTCTAGTCCAAATCTCAAGCGAACAAATGGTTATGCTGATCGCACCCAAAATTAGACCTCATAAAAGTTTCTCCATATTGGTAAATCTAACCTGAGATCCTAAATACCGTGTATTCTTGACAAAATGACCTAATAAAAGTTATTCTGCCCCTCTAGAGAGCAATGATTTACTTCCAGACGTCCTCACTTTTGGACACCTAACAGACAACAGATTAACTCCTAGAGGAAGGCCTAGAAATTTCAAGTCCCACTTCCTTATAGAACCAACCTATAAATCACTTTCTCGAGGCAGCTAGAGTCAACATTAGTTCCCACAATTACACTCTTAGACAAGAATTTTACGCTAGTAAAATTGGAATGTTTTAAAGTAAACAAAAGATTGAGGAAAATTCATTTGATGCCTTAAAAAAAGCAGAGTATCATTTGCAAATTGTAACCGTTTTAAAATCCCTCAAAGGACACCTTCCTTACCCTATCAATCGAGCAACTGAAATCAGAAAAGAAATATTGGATCAGCTTACCAAACCCTTCAAAGGTCTTAAGTTTACCTATTCACTACAATGCTTGGACACGGGTGAGGGTGTCAGATATGAGTACATATCTAATCTAGGAGTCAAATTCTTCTCATTTTAAAAATTAAGAAATAGGGATATGGTTAAAAATGATCCGAATTTTGGATAATGATACGGAGATAGGTCTTACAATATATATATATAAGGCCAAATTAATGCCATAATAACAAAGAGAAAATGGTTCAATTAAAGTAAATAACTACAATATTAAAGCTAGATAGCAAATTACCACAATACTAATGTTTAAACAATTGGATTATAATTTGAAATCAATTTAAATTTAAAGCCAAAACAAATTCTTCTCAAAAAAATTAAAGAAAAAAATTAATTTCAATGTCTTATATATTATTTAAAAAAAAACAATTATAAAAATAAATTTCAATTTAATACCAAGAAAAAGATATAGCACTAAATCATTTTAACTACAAAATAAAAAGTTCACACAGATAAAATATAAGAAATAAAAAATTTAGCCCCCGTTTGTTTCCCATTTTTTCCTCGTTAAAATGAAAAATATGATCGTTATCCATCATATCAAGCCACCAAATTTGAATTTCTATTTCTTATATGGGGTCCGTAACGGCTATATTTTTCATTCTCATTTTCACAAAAAAGAGAAACAAACGGGCTTTTAATATGAAAATAAACTCAGATTAAATGAATTTGACCATGCAACTTGTCCCAATAAAATATTGTAATTTCATTAACTCTATGCATTGGACTTTACAAGAGCCCATATAACACATTCCAAAATCTGGTCAACAGCCCACTTAATCAAACTCCCTGTTATTTTCATTCTGCAAAGTCAAAAGCAGAAATCCAGAAGTAGAGCCAGAAGCAAGACTCCACCTTGCTATGGAAATAGAAGCAAAGCCAAATAACCACATTGCCACAAACGACATCTAGTGCGGACTCCGCTACAGAAGCAAAGCTAGAAGCAAGACTCCACCTTCCGTCGTCTTCTCCCTTATGCTACCATGTCCAGATGCAACATCGATCTGATCCATATCCCGTGTCGATACGGATACTTCTCCATTTTTGGAGAGTTCCAGCATCATAGCCTGTTCGTTTACCATTTTTTTCCTTGGGGGGGGGGGGGGTGTTTGTTGCTGCGGGTGCCAGGGGGGGGGGGGGGGGGGGGGGGGAGTCTAAGGCTGTTGAAAGAGTGCTTAAACAGCTGCATATGGACTAAATAATAGGCTGAATAATTAAGGAGTTGATCAAAACTGGATATGCAACAAGTGGTTGAGGACCAAGTCTTTAGAGAGATAGTTGATGCTGTTTTTCTATTTATGCAGATATTAGGAAGTTGTTAGTCATGCCTTGTAATCTGCAAATTTCTTTGGCATTCTGTTAAACTCCAGCTCTATATCTGTGCAGAGAATAAAATACATCAAGTTTCCAGAAATCATTTTATTTTCTTTGCTGTCTTTTTACCTCTTGTGCTTTGCTCTTGAAGGCTTCCACTTGTCCACCTAATCCATATAAAGTAAAGCTCTTTTTTCCTAAAACATAATCCAGAAATTGACATCTTGTCGCCTCGATAAAGGGCTACACTTGTGAAATAATATTATCCTATAATATTATTTGCCAGATGGGGCCCATAATGGTTTAAAGGGGCCAAAAGATAGATGGTGAAATAATATAATCCCATAATCCGTACGCTAGTTATCCAAATCTGCACATCCCAAAACCCGCTGTGAAGGGGGAAAATAAAAAATGAAAGGCGGAGTTGATAAGAAAAAAATAAATATAAATGTCAAAGTCAAAATATGCAACATCTACAACAAAAATAGAAAGGATAAATACGCAAATGGAGAAATTTTTTATGGGTTAAAATTCCCAATATTTTGGGGTCATTGTTAGGAATGAGCCCTTAAATAGTCATTAAATTTGTTGTAATCTGAATTTTAAATTTGATTCATCATTTATATGCATTCAAAGCATGTAATTTGTTTCCATGGATTATATGAGAATTCACCCCTCGAGTTTGCACTATATGATTTGGATGTATGGAGATTGGCTCATACAACGAAAATACAAATTATGATGATGACGGATGCAACAGACAAACAACCAAAGTCAACAATACATATGAGAATTGTAAGAAAATACAAGCAAACCAACAATGCATCACAATACCTAATCTACAATACCAGCAAAACCACAAGTTTGCAATAGCAAAATGGCAATACCAATGTGAAGAACAAAATAAGCCCCTGTTTGTTCCCCATTTTTTGATAATGAAAATGGGAGGAATAATATTTTTTTGAAAAATAAGTGGTTGAAAAAGAATAAAAAGTTTTCGATTCATGTGTAATATTATTTTATGAAAGATTGTATGGTTGAAAATAAGAGAGAGAAAAATAGAATGTAATGAAATGTAATTTAATGGGGCCAAACAAGGGCTAAGTTTTCCATTCACTGTGTGATTAAAATAGGAATACAATCAACTCAACTAATAACCAATGCAAGCAAAACAAAATACCAAAATAATAAAGCTAGCACCAAATAACCCAAAATTATTCTTTAAAGTCGTAAAACACTTCAAGACAAAGGGAAAATCAACCTGGCAAACCGACAAAATCTACTATCACCGAAGCAATAGGATTACAATAGTCTCACTAGATTTATGCCCAAATCGAGAGGTATTCCAACACACACTACACCAAGAACAATTCTTGGCTTACTACAATACACCATCATCTAACGATACTAGATGGAAACTCAAGAAACAATACCTGTAGAGGGGTAAGAACTCATCAAGCTTCTAAGAACAATCTTAGAGAAGACAAACCCTTTCTTCCAAAATGGGGTGTGTGTTTGTTCTCTACCTTCAGAAAATAGAAATCAAAACAATTGCCCTATTTTGTTTAACGGGATCGTTCCAATAATTGCAGAAAAAGGCCACCAACCTTTGCTTTAATTTCCCTCAAGTCTGGACCCATTTTTAAAAGAAAAGGAACAAATGGGCCAAATGGCCTATACGCCCAACATCGATAAGATTGAGAGAAGAGAATGAAGAAAGAGTGGAGTAGCGAGAGAGTGCCCAAAAGAGAGCGGAATATGAGATATTTATTCAGAAACTTGTAATTGTATTCAAGAATAAAGTGGTCTTTGATTCAAAGCATTGCCCTCATTGTATAAGGTATCAAATCTGACTAGTTTTGGTAAGAAACAACACAAGGAACTAAAATTGTCTCGAATATGAAATCTAAATAATGAAACATAAACATAAACCCCGATTATTTTAATTGCATTTGCGACTTGAATAAAATTTAAATGCTGATCACTTGGGCCTTCCTTGTAACTTAATTACTAGTTCAGAGTTAGCAGTGAGTCCCTAAATATAGATTGCAACATGTTGACATCCATAGGCTGAGGTCAGTTATTTGATCACCAAAATGACACTTAGGATCGGACATACTACTTTTTGATATTTCTATTTAGAATAGGAATTAAACAATGTTCAGATATATGAAGTTTTAAAATGTAGATAAAATATAAGAGTTAAAAATATTATTAAATCTTTTTTTTTTTTTTTTAAAGTACTGAAAATCAGATTCCCGTGTAACCAATTTGGTCGAATGTGGTGAACAGGTTAGGTGCATTTAAATCAAAACCTTAAACCCTCTTAGTTGTTTGTAATTAAAGTTTGAAAATAGCTTCAATAAGACCAATTCTAATCTTATCACAGTATCTCCAATGCTACAATGAATTGCTGAAAAAAAAATTGTCACGTAAGCAAAATAAACAATGTTAAAAAAATTTCCTTCCGATGCAATTTGACAGGAGTTACGTCTAAATTCAGAAGCTCTGATAGACAAGTTGACTAAGTGACATTTATATTTTACATGTAGATTTAGATGTGGATTTTATTTATTTTAAGAAAATAAAAGACACCTAGATAGCATTATTGAATTGTAGATATAACTCATTAAAGACCAATTTTGGACTTGGAGTGAGTGTCTTCTCATTAGCCATCAATGTCATATGGACCAAAAGTCTTTCAACTTGTATATCACCTAAACAGTAATCCATAGAATGCATTGGAGATGCTCTCAAATTAGTAGAGACGAGTGTTAGGTTAAAACTCCAATTAGTCTATCATGATATACTGGATGCATTAGATGTCTCTAACTAATCTAATCCTAATTCCATCAATAATAACATAGAACCAAATGGTGCAGGGTGATCAGCACTCCAATACCTCATATTTCAAATAAATATTTTTGAACTCAAGCGGTCTGAATCTCTTGTGCTAGACTAAGTAGTGAGAAAAGACAATTGATATCTTCAAGCAATTTTTCATATTTTGGCTTTCAGCCAGGGCCAGTAAAAATCAAGAAACAGAATTCAGTTTTTCGTTATTTTTCCCCAAAAATCTCCATGAGATAACGAGCTTGAGACTCCAAAAACAAATCTTGTGTTGCAAAAGGATGTCCACCCACTCGAGTCAATTTAGAGATAGAATTCATTGGAAGACCTTAAATCTTTGGAGCTTGGACCGAAATTTTGAAGCAACGTTCGTCTTCTATGAAAGTGCCTGTCCTGTATTATGTCGCTGCACTCTTTGATGCTGATAGTTTTTCAGTTGGATTAGCAGAAATTGATAAATGAAGGATTTTCCTTTATAGTATTACCTTATTTAGTGATAACAATTGTAACATCAATAAATTAACTAACACTTTTAATACTTCAAATAGGAAAAATGCCAACTGAGAAACTAGGCATGCAGAGAATGCGAAATGGTCTAATTATAAATCATGACAAAGAAGGTTTTGTTAGTACCATCTTTAGAGGTGTCAGTTAACTCCTTGTTAGCTTGCTTTCCCAAGCGGTACTTCTGCAATGTAAGATACTCGATTATCTACACTTGCACAGTAACAAGTTATACTTTCAAGAGAATTAAAAAGAAAAAAAAAGGTGAAGCATTGTTTTTCCCTCCTTGGCTCACAGGGATTTTAGGGTGGGTTGCGGATAGGAAAGGTATTGTGAAACAGCATACCTGAAGATGCGACTTCAAATGATACAATGTCAAGCCTTTCACTCCCATAGTTCTCATTATCATTTTTGGGGTTGCTTCTGCAATGTAATTCAGGAATGATCATCAAATTAACTTATATATCTGAATATAATGATAAATATAGTAAATCAGGGCCTTGTATGCATGCAGCTATTAGCACAAGAAAAATCAAGCAAGGCAAGAAAAAGGTAAACCTCATTTAGAAAGAATAGCCAGGGAGGTTATGTGGGAAGCTTTGTACTGGTAAGTGATTTATGACAGCACTCGTTATATAAACAGAACTTGGATAAATAAAAAGGTTAAAAAATAATTCACATTCTATTTCATACCTGATCCCCCTCAAAGAATCATAGTACAATTCATTACCCTCTTACACATTTCCAGTTAAAAGGAGGATAGTTTTGGGGGAGAAAAAAAAAAAAAGAAATTTGGCTTCCGTTCCGCAAACCTTTAAATAACAAAAATATTCTTTTCCTTTCTTTTGCCTTGGTTTAAACATAAATGTAAATTTTAGGCAACATGTTTTCACATAATGTTCTATAAGACACACATTTGTAACTGCATTCCAACAATGTACTTTCAGCACCCATTCCAAAGCAAGTCTTCCTAGTGAGATACAAGTAACTCTTTTGTCTCATCCCCTACCATTTCTCATCATGGGCAGATAGTAATAATGTCACTTAATTCAGCCAACACGTGTAAAAGAGTGGGCCTGGTTGCAAAGATTTCAGATGATTAATTTGTGTTAACTGTTAATGCGAAAGCTCACTAACAATTTGAAGTTAAGAGTAAGGAATGGCAGAGGGCAGATTATTGCTTTGCCATCATGGTCTTGGATCTCTGCAGTTATCAATAATGCAAAATAAAGGTTCCCTTGAGATTATATCATTGAAAACCCCGGGAAATTTTGTTTAATTTAGGAACATAGCTTTAACTCTACCCTTCAGCACAACTTCAAACCTCAATAACAACACCAAGTACTAGATTTCAAATTAGATGTATTATTTTTAAAGCCACAACCAGGAAGGGAAATTTATTAACAACTAAAGTAAGATACAACTTTACAAGGCCAAAAGGATTTTTGAATTGTTGTAGAAACCATATTTAAAGTAGAAGTTGTAGAGAGTTTCGACAAGGCAAAAAAAGAAAACTCTTCAGATACATAAAAAATACATATTTTTTTCATATTATTTTCTCATGAACTTTAAATCTACTACCTTCTTTTGTTTTTTAAAGAAGAAACTCTGCAATTGGTACAAACAAGTACTGTAAATTTGAGTGTTTTGGTATCAACCATAATTCGACTGTCAATACGACAAACATCAAAAATACAGATTTTCTTCATATTATTTTCTCATGAACTTTAAATCTACTACCTTCTTTTGTTTTTTCAAGAAGAAACTCTGCAATTGGTACAAACAAGTACTGTAAATTTGAGTGTTTTGGTATCAACCATAATTCGATCGTCAATACGACAAATAAGGACCCTTGCTAGAAATAGCATCACACTCCTGATCATGAATATATTTTCTCAGCACAAGGTACTATACAAGATACAAAGGAAACCCCAACAATAATTTGTAAAGAAACCGTGGCAAACACATGCTAACATAATTTCAAGATATATATCTAAGTACTCCATTAATATTTATAGTAAAAAAAACTGAGTTCAACTCCAACGGTAGAATTTCCTAAAAATTCAATATTATGCCTGTATCTTCATGTAATAGTGAACAAAAAGTGAACTTCTAATGCGCACACATACAAGTTAAATAGACATATCTACATCCACATTGAACGCATAAAACATGCATTTAGATAATAATATAAGAGAAAAAAAAAAAGGAAGACGGGAACTGACTATCCGGGCCACCAAGCTGGGTTACAGCATCAAGAAATCTTTCGTGGAGCTCCGAAGTCCACCTTAGTCGGGGCTTCGGATCCGTCGTGAGAACAACACATAGATCCCCAACCAAGTTGGTGCCATCAAATGGATACTCCCTTCCACTCCCATCCAATGCCAAACTGTGTATGGGCATAGCAGAATACATTTTTCAATCTCTAATCGATTTTTTCTTGAAAATTTTCTGAAAGGTGAGGGTAAACACCCGAAAACAGGAAATGGGTCGGGCCTTATAGGGCCCGTGACAGTTGGAATGATTTGGGAATGGCGGTGTATGTAAGTGAAGGATAGTGTAGTGTTAGACTATAAACAATGTAATTATGTAAATATGAATATAGCTTAATTCTATAAACGAAGAAAAAAATGTCCTGTTGCGTACTGTCATTGTCTGTTTTTTTCAACATTTTTTAACATTTCGACTCTGTCTTTGTCTCAATCTAGCTTTTATAGGGGCAGTCCAGTATGACTGCTTTGTGACTGAGCTAGAGAGTAGAGAGAGAAAGGGAGGAGGGACTAGAGAGAGAAAGAGGGAGCATTTGCTGGCGTGTTGATACTCTTTTACAGAGCACGTGTTGATACTCTTTTACAGAGTAATTTCTTGGTTATGAGGGTACACTTTGATAATCATATACTCCCTCTATTCTATTCTTATAACTTTAGTAAATTAATCCAAATGTCTCCAACCTTTAGGCCATTTGTACTTTAGTCCTCAATCAATTTGGATTCCATCCACTGTTCGTGAGTCAACTCGATAGACCAGCATTCTGAAATAATGAAAGGGATAAAATTGTAATTCTATTATCCTTGATAACAATTAGAAAAAAAGAAGAAAAGAAATTGATGTAATCGTCGACTTCAACCCCAACCTCACCACCTCCACTACTACCAATTGAACCATGGAGAATTGGAGGATTTCTCCACCGTCAATCCCACCACTATCAGTTGACACCATGGACGGATCTATAGTGTGGACAATGGGGTTTGTCGTCCCTAAACTAAATTTGAAATCCAAGTTTTTGCAAGATTTAAAAAAAAATTTCCCTTGTAATTCCTCGCAATGAAAATTTTGTGAAATTTACCCCGCAACTCTAATCTCTTAGCTCGGCACCAAATCGACACCATCGTGAGCAGCTCAGCTTCCATTTCCATTCAATGGCCAAACACATGACAAGGACTGAATTTTAGAATCGTAATCAACTTTGCATTGAATACCACGACACAGCAAACTTGGAAATTAGCAACCATCTACAATGTCCAACAAACACAAATCCAGCGTGCAGTTTCTAAAGCCCAATAAATTGACGACCAAAATTAAAATCACACTCAAATTACATTTTCTCTTCTGATCATAAGCTCCAATTCCTAACTCCTCAATTTGACTGACTTAACCTAATAAATAATGTTGTTTAATGACACATTGGCATTTAATAGTGACACGTACGATTTAATTTAAATTTTTTAGTAAGTGATCATTAATGTAATAGTTAGAAATTTGAGTGATTATTTTGGCAAGAAAATAACTTGAGTGACCATTGAGGTAATTACTTAAAACTTTAATGACCATTGACATAATTAACTAAAAAACGAAGAGGTTTTCTTTCAGTAGAATCCCCTCCACGGCAAGCTAGTTCCATTGGATCATCAGAAAATGAATTTTGTTTTTATAATCAACCTCTATCTATCAATTTAAATAGTTTCATTCAACTCATTAAATCATTTGTTAAAGAACACAGATGAGGGTTATTAGATTCAGAAGCTCAAATATGTGTAACAGAAATCTCTGCGAATAAAATAAACCACTCTACCTAACACAAACAACTATGTTCCTAGTTCAATTCTTGATTGAAGCAATAATTTCAAGTTGAGTGCCAACTACCAAGCTTCTCCTCAGCAAGCTTCTTGGCTTTTATCCGCAGTTTATTGAACTGCTGCTTCCTCTCGTATGTTGCCTGAGCTCTCTCTTTCCTCTTCTTTTCAAGCTCCTTCAATATTAAATGTAGTTGTTGTGGTTAGAAAAACTTTCTAAGGTGGTCTGTAATACATAACCTAAACTATGATGAAAGATCCATGCAAGTGCGAAACTACTTGTCTGGTAGTGCTTATAAGCTGAGGGTTCTATGGAATGTGTCAAGTATAAGGTGTGGGTCCGACAAAACGTGTGGATAAAAGGTGCAAACATGCAATAAATATGAAAACCAACATCATGAAAATTCACATACACAAGTTAAACAATAATGACATCTCAATAATTTGCCTCAAGAAGTCCAAGGACCAGGGCAGTGACAAATTTTAGCAGCAAATAAATGGAAGGAAAAATGTAATGCCTGAACTAGGGAGAAGGAACAAAAGTACAAAACCATCAAGGATGGAGGAGTAACAACAAATTGGGAAGCGTGCTCTTAAATCAGGGACATCAGAAAGTTAGGAATAGATGGTGTTGTCAGAGGAAATCAAACAAAGAGATCAACTAAATAAACAATTTTGAGAAAACGCATCGCAAAACAAAAAACAAAAGAATTGTCACATGAAATTTGAAGTAGGCAAGACTCAATCTTAGGCAAACGGCTATAAAGATAATGATCAACCATTTAGCCCCCGTCTGAACCCCATTTTTTAAGAATAGATTTCATAACGGGAATTTTTTTTTCCTTTTTTTTTTTTTTAATTAAGAATATGTGGTTAAAGAGTGAGAAAAAGTTTATATGTAAAATAATTTTATTGGGAGAATGAGTGGTTGAAAATGAGTTGTTACACAATCAGGCTCAAATAGGGGCTAAACAAGACAACTCATGTTCATGTGACAAACTGCAAATCCAAAAGTGATTGATTTGCACAACAGTGTGCACAGAAATGGTAGCATGTAAGCTTTCCCTTATAGTATCATAATGGTTCCATCTGACTTCCGATGAGTCTCTACCCAACAATCAGTACTTATCTCCAGCTTGGAGCCTCAGAACCCTAATCATCAAACAGTCAGTAAGTTGAAAAGATTCTAACGCACCACATTTTTATAACAAACAAAGAAAGAAAGACCACGCTATCAAACTGACTTGAAAGCATCTGGAATGACCATTCTCTTCATCTTGTCATATGGTGGGGGAACACCCTCATAAACCTTCCGTCGAGCAAGTGCAGCTGCTCCTCATTTAGTCTTGTGGGGAATCAACCTACAACCAAATTAACAAATAGTATGACACAACTATTGACAGAAAAATAAAAAATAAAAACTCAGACAAAGCAATATTTGTCCAACAAAAAACTTCCAAAAAGCACCATCCATCTCTGCAGTAGCTTCTTTATTTTTAAATAAAAAGATATATAGCCTAATGACTAATGTCCATTAATGAAAGAAGACTAAGTTTATGCTATGCAACAGTACAAGTAGATTTCCATTGAGTGTATAACCTAAAATAAGTTCCACAGAAGAATAAAAACAGGATATTTATCTTTTCAGCTAAAATATATACAGCATTTTCTGTCTCAGTTCGATCAGAAAGCGCTTCTATAAACCAATGAGGAATTCTACGAACATTTAAATCTCATTTGATAATTTACAATTATATTCTAAAACCACAAAACTCCTATAGCTATCCAATTAAAATAACTAGAGATGAAAGTCAAATGTATTTAGTATTACTGAATAATATGACAAATTTAAGACAACTGAATTCCGGGGGGAAATCACAAAATTATCATATTTTTATCACCATATTCAAATGAGCCGATGCCCATCATTTCATTAGATCTTAAATTTGGCATTTCTCAATGACAATCTTTACTTGATCAAAGTTTATTTACTCCATTGATCCCATTACTAAACGGACATAAATGATAAATTCATAAAAGAATACTGAGTACGTTGTACAAAACAGAAATACAACAAACTAAGTTCTGTTCCCAACAAATTTAAAGCCAGCAACATGGACTTGAAATTGGCAGTTTTCTCATGCATTGCACATTTATTATAACATATGTGATAAGTGTATATGTAATCTATCAATACATTTACACACCAACTACAGTGTTGTTTAATCGATGAAGATGAATTGAACATATTTTGACACTCCAGAATGAAAACATCAAACAGGCATTTTCTGTACATGCATACACATTCATGGTCGCAAGATATATAGGTATAAATAAACAGAAGTACCAGCTAGGGATCCGTCAATACATCTCACGAAGCCAATTTCTACACTCCTCTGAACATAAGATGAGAGAAAATTCACAATATGTACATCTAAACAAAACCAGAACATCAATTTAACGTTTTCTCCACAGATAGATATGCATTCACATTCAAAAAACCCATAAAAAGAACCTAACAAAGAAACGAAAGAAAAACATGTTAATACCCACGGATGGTACGCCAGAGGATTTTAGAGGCTGCCCGGAAGTGGATGGGACCATGTGAAGGCTTGGTATTCATGCGCTTTCGGAGAAACCTCAGGTACTTGATTTTCTGGCGGAGTAGTCCACCTGAAAGGCAGATTTCCTCGCATCTCACTACAACCACTTTCTGGCCATTGAGTAATTCCTTCGCAGTTATGGATGCAAACGCCCCAGCATGTGGTGTCTTGCATCCATCACCACCTTCTTCGAACAGATCCCAGACCCCGACACCATTTCTTTCCCTCTCTGTCTCTCCCTCTCTCTCACACGGAGGAGGAGGTGTCATGAGGTAGCTCAATGGGGAAGAAAGGGACTCAAGGCGAAACAAAAGAGAAGAACCTGAAAGGAAGAGCCAACAGGAGCAACTGTGATTTGAATTGGGAAGTTTAGCAGAGGAATTAGTGGCTGTCGGCCGGCCGGTTGACTCGGCCAATTTTTTAAACTGGCCTTTGACCAATGAAAAAGAAAAAAAAAAGGTAAAATTATAAAAAACAGTGAAAAAAAAAAAAAAAGAGATTCCCAATTTTACCCTCATTTGAAAACGAAGCAAAGCAGAGGGAGACGGGAAAATACTGTAGCACAGTCGACCCAGACACCGACAAATAAGGAAAAACAGGATACCCACTTTGCCAAAATCCCTCGGAAGAAGGTAAGAAATTTATACAAAAAAAAACCATGTTTATATTTTTATTTTTGGAAAAAAGTATGATTTTCTACATATTTCTTGAGAAATTCATGTGTAAATGTGGAATTTTGGCAACATATTACTTGGGAAGGAGTGGAGATCGCCAGAAATGAAGTTTTCCGACGATCTCCTCATCAAAAATGCCGTAAACGACGACTGGGCGCCGTCTGGGCGCGCCCAGCCGCCCCAGACGGCCCAGTTATCTGGGCCGTCTAGGCGTCTCCCCAGTTAATTGGGTTGCCCAGTTGACTGGGCGCTCTGCCCAACTGGGCGCCCAGTCAACTGGGTCAACTGGGCCGGTCTGGCCCAGTTGACCCAGTTGACTGGGCCGTTTTTTTTAATGTTTTTTTTTTGCCCAGTTGACCCAGTTGACTGGGCCGTTTTAATTTTTTTTTTTCCGGTTATTATTGAAGTTAATTAAATAATTATTAATG